GCACAGAAATAATAGTAGAAACTGCACAGAAATAACAACAAAAATAGGCTCAACAGCACAGAAATACATGAACATAGAGCTCGACCTGGCTCATTTGCACAGAAAAAATAGCAGAAACAGGCTCAACAGCATAGAAATACATGAACATAGAGCTCGACCTGGCTCATTTGCATAGAAATAACAGCAGAAACAGCACATAAATACATGAACATAGAGCTCGATCTGGCTCATTTGCACAGAAATACCAGAACATAGACCTCGACATGCCTCGACTGAACAGAAATATAGCAGTAAGTGAACAGAAGTGCATAACTGCAGTAAACTAGCAGAAAAACCAGCCGAAACTGACCAAAAAAAATAGAAAATCGAGCTCGACTTGGCTCGTTTGCACCAGAATATCGGAAAAACCCTAACCCCAAAAAACCAGAAAATCGAGTCAGAACTTCACAACACAGCAAGACAAATCTCTCCTATGCTCATAATCTCATATATCATGCTTCTAAAAGGAGAAGAAAGGGAAAAAGATGAGAGATACAAACAGCGAGAGATGTAAGTATTCCTGTTGAGTCAAAGCAGATGTGCACGATGAACACCATGAAAGGACGAAACCACAAACTAAGAATATTCCAGAGAAGGAGAAAAGAGGAAACCAGAGACAGATCGAGGAGATCTGTAGAGACAGATCGAGGAGATCTGCAGAGAAGAGAACTTCGGAAACCCTAGACGAAGTAGCGAAGAAGAGGAGAGGCTAGAGAGCTACGGCGCGTGAAATGAAAATGGATCGCGTAAAACCCTAACGCGACTTAAGTTATCTACTTATCCACATGAAATAATTTCCCGTGTCAAACGGGTCGGTAACGGGTTACCGGGTCAACCCATACCTGACCCGAAATTCAATTCGTGTCATTTTTATGAACCCGAACCCGACCCGTTTGAAAAACGGGTCGGGTCCAACCCGAAAATTTCGGGTCGTGTTCGAGTCGGATTTTCGGGTCGTGTCAATTATTGACAGCCCTACTTAGTTACGTTAAATAGATGCTGTTTATTCTACTTAGTGCTAGTTGGATTAAGGTTGATGAAGATAATGGAAATTTACAAAATTGATGTGACCTTAGTTTGCTTGTAAACTATGATTTGTTTTGTACCCGATTTCTTATAGTTAAGACTAATTAATAGTTTCTCTATGCATCTCACTAAGGCAGCATGCCCAATTTATTCTATAAAATTAAGAATAAGAAAAGAAATAAAAAAATTATATTTGAGCCTCCAATCCAATTCATTAATTTTTCTATCGACTTTATCTTTAATATATTATGCTCAGTTTACTTTCTTTTTGGTCATAATATTCTATTTTATTAAAATTATGTTGTTGATATTTCTGGAGCATTAAATTTTCACTATTACGCTTTTGATGAACAAAAGTTTGGAGATATTATGGAGATGGTATTTGGTGATTTTTATTTAATTTTGATGATGTCCATATTCTCCAGGCCACCTCCATAATACTCCAAAAAATTCCAAGACTTATAGGGTAACTTCACCATTATAATCGAGACCTCATATATGAAGATTAGTGCATGTTGTATTATTTTGTAATTTCTTATTTAGGTTATCATACAATTCTCTTGTAAAATTTATTTGTGTTTTTCTTACAGCCTCATTCTCACAAGTTGAGTATGGCGGGATGAAAAATAACTTATCTCAATGCATGAATTGATTTAAGTTCTTACTTTGTTAAAGAATTTTTTAATTTTTCCTTTCTAATGAGAGAAAATATATCACCAAATTATTCACATAAATAAAATTATTATGCATGACCTATAAATGATAATTCTTTCAACAATTTTATCTCTTCCATTAAACTCAATTAATAAGTTTTAAATATGTGATTATTACCAAATTAGTGTCATACATAATATTTGTCTTCATGGGAGACTATATTTTCCTCGATTGTTGTTTTGTGAATATGTAGGAGTGCTATTTATAAGACCAATTTTGAGAATTTGCACTTGACTAAAACTTGATATTTAAATAGAATGTCTTCATTTCGTGCTAATACACATAATGCAAAGAAAACTGAAAGTAATGGAGACTCAAAGTTTAAAAGAACCTTAGATTCTACATGAGACATGGAGACTTTAACACTGCCGTTGCCAGGTCCCAAGTCCTGGATGAGAAAAGTGGAGGGTTGCGTTAGGTAGTCGACAGCCAGCGTAAAACTTGTCGAACAATCTACATGAGAAATGGGGTAAGAATTTGTTGTTGTTGTTGTATAGAGACCACCATATCCCTATATTTTCTACAAACAAAGTCGTAGGTTTACAAGCGAGAAGAGAGCAATATTATTATTTCTCCTCTCAGCCTTTAGTGCTAACTTCTACTCATAGTCCCCTCAAATATTCTCCATTTTAACTTCCCTCTCACTTAAAATAAATTCACTCCAAAAAATCAATTTGTCAAAATTTACTACCAATGTTATCATATTATATTTTATTTTTTTAGGAAGATTTTTTTTACTCCTTGTTTAATCACTTATTTATTTATAATTACAAATCAAGGAGTGTACTTCAAACCCTTTGAATATGCATCTACTAGTTCTCGTGGATTCTAATATTCATTTCTCCTTTGCTATATAAAGGTTCTGATATTGAAACAGATAGAAGTTGGATGTATTATTCAAGGAGTAATGCAGTTTTTAAAAGAGGAGTTAAAGACATTCTAAATTTTGCATTCAGTAATGGAAGTTTAACTAGAATGATACTATGCCCATGTAGAGATTGTAGAGGAATGTTTAACATTTTACTCTTTATTTTTTTACTGAGCATGTTGAAACAAGGCATAATCAACTTGGAATAAATGAATTGGATAAGAATGTTCCGAATGAAGGACTTAATATCTTTGCAACAAATGGTCAGGCACTTGGAAAGAGAGAGGTCAAGATCTTCAATGATGAGACACTCATAAAAGCACATCAATATGTTATTTTCAATTGTGAGGAAATAGAGCCATATGTTAGGTAGAAGAAAATTAGTTGAATAATTCATATTTTTATTTTTTATATAAGTAATATTATTATATTCTTATAAATTTTAAGATTATATACAGTGGACATTACACTTTAGTCAAAGAAATGATAAGACAAAAAAGATCTCGCTATGGAGAGCATGAAGAAAAAAGGTTAAATAATGTGGAGTTTGTTTCTTTGTTTGCTAATAAGGTTGGTGTTGCAATGCTAATTAACTTTATATGACAATTCTTACTAATTATATCAACTTTGTTTTAATAGATTGCTTCAATTGATCCATTGAAGGATGATATTATTTCTACTAATTTGAGCTAGATGCCTGTCCAATGTTGTCACTCTATACAAGAAGTACCTTATAAATGGTTTTAGATTTCATGTTGCAGATTTGATGAAAAAAAGAAAAACTCAAAATTGTGGAGTGATGATTATAACTCTAACTTCAAGCTTCACTAGTATCAAAGATAATAATCCTATTTCAAGTAACTTGACATACTATGGGATCTTAAAAAATGTAATTGAATTGGATTATACAGTAGAGCGAAGTGTTATTTTATTTGAAATTGATTGGATTTCGAAAGGAAAGAGACTGAAAGAGGATGAGGATGGCTTCATCTTAACTAATTTTAATAAAATTAAATGGCATCAAGAACCTTTTGCGCTTGCTTCCCAAGTTCAACAAGTTTTTTATGTGGAAAATCATATTCATCCTACATGATATATTGTTGTTACAACATCACCAAGAAGTAATATTGCTAACATTCACATAGACATAGATGTTGATGACTACTTGCAAAGTATAACTTTGACTCAGCAGTATTTTATTGATGATGAAGTTCAGTGGACTAGAGATGAAGTTGATGGAATTCTACTAAAGTAATTGATTTTTGTGCTATTTATTTTGTAATGTAAAACCATTTTCTTATACTTAAATCATCAGATCATTATATCAATTTAATTGGTATGCAACATTTTGTGGTTTTATATGTTTCTTATATGTGTTTTTATCTAAATGTTGCATTTTATTTTGATGTATTGAACCTTATAGTTTTTAAAAATATTTTGAACACTTTATTTTTATCCATAGATTATGTGAGCCACATGAGAGACAAATTGCATTATTTATCTTCTATTAAACTCTACTAACTTATATGTTTTCAAATGATTTTTATGAAATGCCACTGCACACGAGAACACATGTTAGAAATATAGGATGTAGAGAACAAACTGAAGTTGAAATAGATGTTCCGACGAATACCATTAAAAATTATGTTGCAGATTTGCCTCTTATTTAAGATATTGTTAAAACTTTCTATGCTTATTTTACATTTACATTATCTTACTTACAAGATTTAATTTTATGATATCTTTTCATAGAAGTTGGAAGCGATGAAGAGTAAAAACAAAAAAGAGGTCCAACCTATATGTGTAGTATTTGGGGATACCATTCTACCCAACATGGTGGAGAACGACTTGTTAATTTTAACCAATATGGTCAACCTATTGGGCAAAATAAATCATTATTTATTGAGTTTTTAGGAACTATTGCTCGGAATGGGAAATATACACCAATTGACATCAAAAGTTGGGATAAAATGCTGAAGTCTTTTAAAAAAAATATGTTAGAAGTTGTTCAGGTATTTATCTTCATAATATTCGTACTTACTTTGTTTGATTTCAGTTGCATGCATAAAATTGCAAATGTCTTTGGATATAGCAAAAAAATATTTTATTTTTTTAGGAGAAATTTGAGATTCCCCGTTCTTATGATGTATGGGTTCTTCAATCTATTGGGAAGAAATGGAGAAATTGGAAAGCAGACGTTAAATCAAAATATTATGACCAAAAAATGTCTACAGAATTACAACTATGTAATGTGCCAAAAATGATACTCAAAGATCAATGGAAAAATCTTGTAACCAATTGGAATTCAGAAGAATCAAAGGTATATTATTATAACTTTTAAATTTTAAAGTGTTATTCATGCTTTATTTATTTTATTAATTCATATTTGTGTTCAGTGTATAAGTGAACGAAATAAAAAGAGTAGGTCAAGAAAGAGTTTGATGCATATAATTGGAAAAAGGAGTTTCAGTCAAATGCGTGAAGATCAGGTTAATTTTATATGTATATACATTTGTGTTAGACTTAAATTTTGAAGTTAATTATTATTTTATTTTAATTAGCTTTTATATTATTTATTTAATTGCTTAGGAGAAAAACATAGGTCACTCACCAACAAGAGTTGAAATGTTTGAGAAGTGTTACACAAAAGAAGGAATTTCTAATAATATTGAGGCTTGTGAAGCCTTGATAAGTGCTGATAATAAACTATTTAATAAATTAATTATAAAATATACTAAAATTATGCAAAAGAGTTAATATTCATTAAATGTAGTAAAAAATAAAGGAAATGAGAAGTCAAACATCTCAAACAGAAGATGTTGGAAGAGATAATATTTTCGCAAACGTTCATGGAAATGACAAGGTCAGAAGAGTTCGCATGTATGGATTTGGTGTAACTCCTTATGTTTCATGGGGAGAAATCCCAAATCGAAGTAGTGCTTATCGATTGACGGAAGGTTACAAGGAAGCTTTTGAAAAAATTGAAAATTAAGTTCAAGAACAGGGTGAGGTAATTGCTAAAATGAAGTTGGATATGCAAAGTACACAGCAAGCTACTAATTTTTTTGTGTGTTCTTTCTTATTACTTTTACCGTTATTTATTTTCCACTTTTATTTTGGATATAACTGCTTGGTTAAACTAGTTCTTTAGGGTTTAACCACCCTTAGAAACTTTACATTAGGGCTTCTCTACCTAGTTATGTGTTGTAGGAGAGACACATTTTGTGCAATACACAAAGAGAAGAACCTTTGGCGAGTGAACATAGGTAAATTAAATTGAACCATTATAAATATGGTTTGCATTATTTTCCTTTTGTAAAGTTTACTTTTATTGGAATTTAAAATTTTTGCTCTATAGTTTGGTTATTTATTAAGGTTGTGAAATAATTTTGGGATTTTTTTGTTTTAAAATTAAAGAGAAAAAACCGTACAGTACTTTAACAACAATTGTACATGCAATTGGAACTTATTTTGCATGGCCTAAAGCTTTAGTAAGTGTATTTTTTATTTTAAAATTTTAATTAAATTATTAAATTACTTATATTTGTATAATTAATTTAATTCAGGTTGTTCATGAAGAAGATTGATATTCAACAAGAATTATTTCTGAAGTGTCTTTTTGGATTTGAACAATCTTACATATACTATAAAATATTTTTATATGTTGATAGAATTTCATTATATGGTTACTCTTTCTTCATTACCAATTTCTTCCATTAACAAGTATTTCTGAAGAGTCTACTTGGATTTGAACAGTCTTACATTAACAACTTCTTCCATTGATGAATGATTTTTTTTTTTTATATATTGAGCTATGGATAACTATCATTGGATCACTTTTATCAGGGAGATGGATTATTAGAAAGATCTTGATTCTGATGGTTCGGTGCTATAAATTTATTTGAATTTACCAGTTGAATGTGACTAAACAGGCTTGAACAAATAGAAATTGCCTCCCATCATCTATGATAAAGCTTGCAAACACTTGTGTTCAGAGCTTCTCCGGTGGACAGTGGTAGCCACTGTCACTCATGCTTTTTTTTTTTTTTTTATTGTCACTCATGCTTCCCTAAAGGCTAAAACAGTGAAGAAAACAATCTTTTCTGGCAGAAAAATGTGTTGGAAACTAAGTATTTCTTACGAAAATTTAGTCCATAGGTAAGCTAATTTTACAATCCAACAACTGAAAAATTTATAGTTAATTAGAAGAAGCTTTGGGAGGATGACAATCAATCCGTTTATACCACTAAATTAAGTGGAATTTATTCTAAATGCAAGTAGAAATGGTTCCATGATCGCCTTTAATTGAGGTGATCCAAAGTATCCTTCAAATTACACTAGTGGTAACTTAATTCGCTGCGCCAAACGTGCTCTCTTTTTTGTGACTAATCCTGGAAGTGATATTTCTAAGTGTGGTTTCTCAACTTTGGTCACTTATTATTTATGTTCATTTTGCAATCAACCTCAGAATTTCTGGAAGTACAAATGTTTGTGCTTTTGTTGACATTTGGTTGGCTTGGAATAACTTAGCTATTCTAAGGTATTTACTTATGTTTTGGCTTCACATAACGTGCCATTGATATTTTGTTAAATCTTTATTTTCTATTGATATCAAAGTTATCAGAATTTTTAGCTGCAAGATTCTTATTTCCAGATGTTACTGGCCATCGTTGTTTTCAGTTTTCATGGTATGTGGAATCATTTACTCGTGCAGCCGATTTCAACTAATAATTAACTGTGTGGTCATCCAGTATGCAGTGTGCATTATGTTCCTGTAACAATACATGATAGTAATGTTGCCCCATTTTATGCTATTTGGCTGTCACCTGAAGAGTTAATTTAGCTGGCGCAGTACTACAAGATTTAGCCTTGCCAAAATTGGTATGTAGGGATAGCCCTCCCTATTCACTTAATGTTTCCTATGTATTGTTTTATAGTTCATACTACTATAACATTGAACGCTATTCTCAGGTAGCTGATTTTGGCTCACTCGAACTTTCACCTGTTGATGGGAGGACTTCAACAGATTATATGCATACAAGGGGCCTGCAGATGCGTTCACTAGGCCGTGTGGTATAATTTAAATCCTCTATGTGATAAACTTATAATGCTGGTGATGGATTTTATTCCTTGAATTGATTCATCAGTTGTTCCTTTTTGTAATTGATCAAGACAAATTAAATATAAAAGATATATATAGTGTTATAACTTTTATTGAGTTTTAAAATGTAAAAAAAATTAGAATATTTCTTAACTTCTTTTAGTCATTTGGAAAATGCATATATAACAACCAAACCAACTCCCTCTCAGCTTAAGCAGAAGTGGATAGAAATTTTCCTTTATAAGAGGTTTGGCTGGAGAGCAGTAAGCTCAAAGCTGAAAGGCCAACACAATGAATCTGTAAACATGGAACATTATCAAGAGAAAGGCTTTGAAGGGGATGATTTGGAAGAAGAAATTTCACATCATCGCAGAACCTCTGATGAGTTCATGGAGTATAGTTCTCAAATGGACAATGTGAGGACATTTGATAGTGTTCGGGGAAGTTTTTCTAGGATGGAAATGGGAAATGAAAAGAAGATTGACAAATGTGCATTTGTTGAAAAAAATGCAGAAGTGAACTATGATAGATCAGCTTCTCCTAGTTGTATGGGTACCTTTGATGATGAAGCCAATTGGGTTCCATCCATTGGCATGCACGAATCTGGTAATCATGACGATCTGATGGATAATAGACCTGAAATACAACATTTGTCCTTTACCGTGAACTTTTTCACCTTCGTGTTTGGTACATTAGTGCAACTAGAAACCACCTGTTGCTTGTTGGAGATGATGAATTATGAAGTCAGCGAGGGGAGCTCAAATCAAGTTCTCTGTTATTTTGTGTCAATTAGGTCCTCCAGCTTGTCTTATAAGTGAAATATATTTTAGGAATTTGGTGATTGCTATCCTTTAATTCACAGGAAACCCCCATTGAAGCACATAATCAAAGGAATCCAATCATAGGTTTTAAAACACGGATTATTGTAAAGTATCCTCTTGATCTTAATGACCTGGGTGCAATTTACCCTAATAGTATTTTATCACCTCATATTAAAATGATCCCTTTGCAGGCGTATAGTTTTGTTGACCTCTGTACAAAGACAAAAAAAAAAAAAAAATCATGAAATCAAATACAAATACATACCTGCCGAAATACCTCCGCAAATCCTGTCCAAATCTCCGGATATTCGGCTGAAATTCATATGGAGCGGCGCCGAACGATCACTTCTCCGCGATCCCTGCAAGAATCCTGCGACGACGGCCTCGTTTCTCGCCTCTTTCGCGTCTATAAAATGAAAGGTAAGCCTCTCCGACTCCACACTTCCTCTACCCGACACTCACACACGCGAAAACTCTCGATCTCTCCCATCCCCTTCCACTGCTCCGACCAACTCCCGACCACCCTCTGACCTGTACCGACCTCTGGTTCTCCTGATCCAGAGAAACCGAGAGAGAGAGAGAGAGAGAGAGAGAGAGAGAGAGAGAGAGAGAGAGGGGAGAGAGCACTGACCTCTTGAAGCCCTAATCCCGACCGAACACCTCCCTGCCGTCTGACTCCATACCCGACGCTTCCTTCACTGTCGGATCGGAAGTTGCTACATTTGAACGGAAGCAACTACAGGGAGCTCGCTTGCTGAAGGTAACTATCTCCTTCACGCGCTCTGCTCGGCCAAATCCCTTAAATCTGCCGAACCAAGGGATTTAGTAAATACAAGATTAAGCCGTAAATCCTTAATCTGGGATTTACCCATCGCCGGGATCTAACGCGAGCACATAAACCGTTCGGCTGGATTTAACATAAATCCGACTTAATTTTCGCTGTAAATCTGGATACCAAATAAAAATCTTATGTGATTTTTTGCTCCCTAGCATTTCTTCGACCAATTTCGGTAAATTAAAATTTAATTAGTAATAATAATTATTAATTATATTTAATAATTACTTAATTATAACTATAGTTTATTTATTAATTATAATGAATTAATAATTAGTTATTAATTAGTAATTATAATTATCTGGTTAATTATAATTAATTTTGATTAATTATGATTAATCACATGTTAATTATAATTATGATTTATTTACTAATTATAGTTAACCAATAATTAATAATTAATTATGGATTATAATTAATTAATTATTATTACAATTAATATTGATTATAATTAATAAATACTTATCTCCCTCGATCCTCGAGCTTCCACGTGCCAACATCTACAATCCAGTGAAGGTACGAATTTTCTAAAACTCAGATTATCGTTTCGTTGTATGCGGCAGACCAGAAAACCGCCTATACACGTCTTTATTGCGCGTGGTGGGAAGGGACCCCGGTCCGAAGCCTACGACGAGGAGAGCAATCGCCTAAACTCTAGTTTGGTGTTCGTGGCGCACCGGAAAACTGCCTATACACTCCTTTATTGCGCGTGGTGGGAAGGGTGCGGCACCTACGGCGAGGCGGGGTCACTCATAAGTACCCCCGAGTAGGGGGAAAGCAAATTGTGTCACTCATAAGTACCCCCGAGCGGGGGGAAAGCAAACTGTGCATTTTTAAACAGATACAGTCAAAGACCCCATACACGCCTTTTTTGCGCGTGGTGGGAGGAACAAAAATCTCGGCCGCGGTGTCCTCATCCGAGGACACCTACCATACACGCCTTTATTGGGCGTGGTGGGAGAGGCCCAGTTTCTCGTAGTTTTCCCCAAAATGGGGGAGATGCCGGGAGGCTGCCGAAATTTCGAGTGAAGACGGACCGTACTTGGACTTGATTGGCACATCAAATAGATAAAAATGAGACTCGTACCTGGACCTGATTGAACTCCAAAGACATTATAAAAGACTTAATTCAAATTCAAAATTGAAAAGAACAAGAACTTAGGCTTGAACTCAAGCGAGAATTTGAATTGAACAAAGACTCAATCTTGAACTTGCAAGAAGGATTCAGGGGACTTAAACAAATTGCAAAGGGCACAAATGAACTTGAACAACTACAAGAGAACTTACACTCGGACCTATTTGAACAAAAAAGGGACAAGAACTTGGACTTGAACTAAATTCTAAAACGAATTCAAGCTTAAATAAAGATACAAGTTGACTACTTGGAACTGTACTTGGAACTTGAACCAAGTTGACAACACTTGAACTTGAACTTCAAATGAAATTGAACTGGACTCAAGCAAGAACTTGAATGAATATGCAAAGACTCCAGAAGATAGTGAACTTTGACATTGAACAAAAATTTGCGGATATAGAACTTGAGCTCGGACTTGAACAAACTGCAAATGACACAAACTTGATTTAAGCATCCAATGAACTTGAAATTGCATTTGATTTAAAATCAAATGATAAGAACAAAGAAAACAAATGAACCAAGTGTCATGGGCATAAGCTCAAGATGGACTCATGCTTGAACTTTACAAGCTTTGGACTTGAAGAAATAAACATGAATTGAACTCAATTTGGACTTGGGGCCTTGAGTTAGTCAAATTCAATATATCATGTGATTTGGCATATATTCAAATGAGCACTAATAGAAGAGCAACATTGGATTCTATTGGAAGAATGAACAAGATGTGAATGGAACTGTCATTCCAAATGCAATTCAATGGCAAGTCACAATGTTTGATCGATCATATGTAAATGATAATATCTTTTATAAGCATATGTAAAGATAGAGAGCGGTGGTGCAAAGAAGAAATGTTTGAAGATTGCTCTCCTACAACAAACACAAGCTTCTTACAAATAGGGACCAAATTGAAGGGGTACCAATGAATATTGAAGAGCGATACATGAGCAGATATGATCTTCTCTTCTTCAAGTAGAAAGATATGATATGTAATGATATGATATACCCAAATACATTCAACAGAATATGCATGAAAAACAAATAGATGGGAAATTCATGACATATAAAGGATACAATGAATGTGATTTATCCATAAAGAGAAAGATCAATTGGGAGGATACAACAATATGCTTGCAATCAATCTACAAGATTTAAAAGAAATAGCAAGAAGTTATCATATTGGTTGGAATACTAATTAACAACCAATAACAATGTAGATGCTATCATTCACATTACAAATCAAATGATGATTGACCCATGGTATTTATCCTGATCATCCAAATGAAGGTAAGCATATGAGCAAGAAATGTAAGACGAATGAGGAACAAATTCTTAAAGGTTACTCAAATAAAGAATGACAAAGTTTAGATACCTCAGATCATTCAAATGAGATAATATCCAAGCAATGACCAAAGATTAAAATATGCAATAAATGCCAGATGTATATGTCATCAATAACACTGTAACATAAACATGTACATTCAATTCTATGAGCAGTGGAATGAACTCAAAGCATACATAATGACTCTATTCACAACAAGTGCCGAAGGATGTCATGCCGGATATGAAGGTCATTTATGAATACAAATATATACATCAAACTATTCATGAATGATGATGAGGGGGATCCAATGAATGCTACATCAACTTAATAATCAATCACTACTCAATATTAAGTAACTATATTGATCTGTTAAGAGCAAAGGGTTATGATACTACAACAAATACAGACCTTTGTGATAAAAAATAGGAGATTAGTTAGTGCACTACGATCCACCTACAGAAAGCAATGAGTAGTGCACGACAGTCTTCCTGTACGAAGCAGCAAACAATTCTATTCAGAAGCTACTACGCTACGCCACCGGATCTGCAACACTCATACGAGCAGACAGAAGGCGTCCATAAGACTACAATGCTATGCCACCGGATCCGCAACATTCGTATTAGCAGACAGAAGGCTTTATGTAAATATTCTAAAAATATCCCAGCATATGCACCGTAGTTTGTATGCACATAGGTACACTAAAAGGGGTAAAGCAATCATAGAACCCGCATGGGCCCCGGCAAGCGTGTTATTGGTACACACGTGACGTCTAGGGATGCTGCGCGGGTTATCAAATTTTCAACCCAATCCTCCTAAGCAGATAAAAGGAGTGGATAGGGTTCAATTATAAAATGCCCCCAA